GGAGGGATGCTCACACTGGAAAGCCCCGCTCATTCTGGGGAGTATTCACACCTAGTTTAGGTAGCTAACTTAAGACATCAATCTCCCAAACAGCCCTGCAGTCAATAAAAAGATAAACTACTCCAGATGTGGAGCTAGAACCTAATTTAGATGCCTTCACTTGCACTTCTCTATTGAAACAGACACCACTTGGGAAAGCATTATATTCATTCCCCATTCCCCACCCCCACTTTGTGCTGGGAATCTGGTAAATCACAAGATTTTTCTTTTGTAACTTTAGAGTGCAGAAATTATTATTTATGGGTCTCTGAGGGTACATAAAATCCAAGAACTCAGCAGTATGCACATGTCCATATTCAGTTTTCTGCACAGGCTACTGTAAGTGACACCTTACTGGCCCATTTCTATGGGATGAATACTGGTGTATGAGTAGGACTTCTACTGCTTCCCATGTCTTCCATGCACCATAACGTCAAGGTTCTGAGAACTACTGGCAGAGTTTGGTAGGAAGCTACCTTTCACTGACAGGTGGAGTCCTCTACTAGTAAAGAATTCAATTCCTTCTTCAAGAAAAAATGCTCTCTCACTGCATATCTCCATCAGGCACATAAGATACAACTAAGATACAACTGGATGCACAAATTGAAATTTTATCGGCTAATTAATTCACAGGACTCCTGCCAGACAATTTTAATAGCAGCTGTAAACCTCTTGAAATGTAGAAAAATATAATAAAAAATAAAAATAAAAGAAATGTGCTTAGAAATAATTTGAGAGGAATTAACCACATGTATAGGCCCTGTATTTTTAATTACTTCTGAATATGAACTGTTAAATTTTAAGGTCAACTGGTTTTGTGTCTATCTGATTTTCCAATTTTCTAAACACTCTCATTGTAAAATAGATCAAAGAACTAAAGAAAACACAAATTGGAAAGGAGATCTATTAGGAAACAGTGTGAAATAAAAAGGTGGAAAAGATATCAGAATTAAACAAAAGGGTACCCCTTAGTCTTTCCAATAAATCCAGATCATATACATGCTGGCTTTTCTGGCTGCTAAAATGGCCCCTAGTGATGGAAGGCTTCTACTCTATAATAATTTGGGGAGCTGATGTAAAGAACTAAATTAATTATTAATACAGGAAAGGATGGAGAACAGAAAATACAGTGAATGTGGGAAATCAGACCTTATTTTACTGTCTAGTCTTGAAATATATTTTCCTATATAGAATCATAGAATCACAGAATGGATAGGGTTGGAAAAGACCTTAAGATCACCTAGTTCCAACCCCCCTGCCATGGGTAGGGATGTCTCATACTAGACCATGTCACCCAAGATTCCATTCACCCCTTGACAGGCCTTGAGGACTGTCAGGGATGGAGCACTCACAACTTCGTTGGGCAACCCGTTCCAGTGCCTCACCACCCACACAGTAAAGAACTTCTTCCTTACATCTAACCTGAACTTACCCTATCTAAGTTTGAACCCATTACCTCTTGTCCTATCACTACAACCTCTGATGATATGGTGCTTTATGAAAAAGAACAAGAGTTGTTTTCCTCAGGACTTTTAGAACAACTCTGAAAACTGAAAAGCTGAATTTGACATTACCATTTCTGTTGTTAGAAAACTTCTATCATAGAAGAGAGGCCAGAGAATTATTTCTCTAGGTTTAGTTGCACAAAAGATTTCCTTCCTCCAGTAGAGCATCACGAACCCCACAGTCCTTCATCAAAATGGCCATTAAAAACAGAGACAGAATCCAAATGCTCATTAAATAAAGACATACTAGTCCATTTTAAGAAGTTAACTTATTAACGAAGAATATATAATTCTGGATGTAAATGATCATACGCTGCATGGCTAAAAGTTGTGGTAAGTGAAGAGCGCAGCTGTTTTCTGTTACAATTTTTGTCAGTTGTATGATGCCAAAGATAGATACAAATTCAAAACTTTAAAGTCAACATTTCCATTATTACTTATTTTTAACTGAGAGGTGTATGTGAAAAGCTCTGCCTACTGATGATGCAATGCTTCATGCCATGCCCTGCCTTTCCGAGCAGCAGGCAAAATCAACACTTCGCAGCCAGGGAAGCCTGTCAGCACTAGTGGGACCACGCACGGATCCTCCTCCTGCTTAGGCAGCACCAGGGGTGCCTCTCCCCATCCGCGTCAAGGATGCAAGGCAGCAGTCAAGGCTCCTCTACTCCCCCTCCTGGGAGGTCCGAAGTTCAGCTGCTGCCATTACTCACAAACAGCCTGCTTTCTACTCCAGAACGAAGGACAGCCGAGCTGGACGGCTTTTGCAGATGAACGTAGGAGCTGGGAGGGGGCAGAGCTCATCCCTCAGCTGTTAGCAGAAAGCAGCTCCCCTGGAACAGATAGCCAGCCATTCCTGCTGTCCCACGCTGGAGAATCTCAGAAGGCCCTTGTCCCACGCCAAGGCACTATCCTGCAGTTCCCTCTCTCAGACTCTCTACACCTGGAACATCCCAGCTTCCAGGGCCCCTTTTCTCCAGCTGCACCAAGGTGGACTGCTTTCCCCAGCAATAAGGCAGTGTGGCAGCACTTTGTACAGTCTCTACAATGTGATCTCAAACTTATTCATCCCAAACTAGCCAACTTCCACCAGTAACAGTGTTATTGTCAGGGAACAGGGCTGCAAAGTAATGCATGAGTGAGCCTGGTGTAGATGGCAGTGTGTGTTTACTGCACCCTGCCTGAATTGCATCTATCATTTTTAATAACATTATTAAACAGGAACTGAAAGAAACAGCTCTAAGCAAGGTAGATGAACGCAGGGTTTCTGAATGCAGTTTTCATGGATTTAAAAACACAAGCAAACATAATTTTTGCACCAGAAGAGGCAAAACTGTACTGAAGGAGAAACACTAGCAGCTTGTAAAATTGATGACAATGGGAGAAATCCTTGTGAATGCTTCTCAACACATCAATCATACTGACTCCCAGCCACACCACATGGCCATTCCACGCACTTCCAGACAGACATCAGTCCACACTGCACAGGATCCCAAGATCCCAGAGTTTCTGGAAAATAGATTTAGTCTTAATTTTTGTGACAGATGGGGTTGATAGTCTCAGGATGAAAAAAAGCGCCAGTTTTGACAGGCAGCAGATACCCATGCCCCTTGTGGTTGGAGACGATGTTTCTCTGGAATTAAGGTAGCACTGAAACGACAGGCAATGGGTAACTGCACTATTACTTATTTTGTTGTACTCCTGTCGTTGTGCCTTAATATTTATATTTTTATGTCTGCTTCCTTACAAGCGAAGCAAAGCGAGGAGTTTAACAGGAAGGCAGGAGATCCGCGAGGACTACACATTACACCCTTTCACCTATTTAAACCACCTTTTACTAGTCCGGAAGTCTTAACAAAGTATCAAAGAACTATACTGTATTTCTGTCTGCAGGCATCCCCGTAGGTCAGTGTCCTAAACCCGTGCAGAAAACTTCGGGCGAGCAGCTCAATGAATTAAAAATCGGTAGGGGTTGTGGTGAGTGGAAAAAAAGTTGCAATACTGGAGGCACTGAGAAGCGGTACTTACACGTTCGCAGGACACCACTAGCAGAGACAGCTTTGCTCTCCCTGAGTGTACTAATACCCTGAAAACAGGAGGTCTGTTTAGATTAAAAAAAAAAAAAAAAAAAGAAAAAGAAAAAAAAAGTCTGTCCCTTTTGAGCCTGATCCTCCCTACCTTTCGGGAAGCAGCTCTGCCCTTACTTGAATCAGTGGGAAGTTTAGGCACAGGCATCGCTGAGCCTAGAGACCATTTTTCCCCTTGGTGCAAGGAGAAGGAGCAGTTTAAAGGCACCATCTGTGCAAAGGCGACACTCAGATACCCGCCGCCTGCTCTTCTGCCTCCGCGGCACGGTGCCCCGGGGAACCCCGCCGCAGCGCAGCCACCCCCGGAGCGCGGGTCCCTGTCTCTGCTGCGCGCCTCCGGCCGCCGCGCCGCCTTAACGGGAGGAGGGGCTCCTCGGGGGGCTGTCACTCTCCTTAAGCCTTTCCTTTCAAGCTTTGAATGTGAGCTGCCCTTCAGCCCCCCTCTCTCCTTCCCTCTCTCCTACAGATCGTAAAGAGTGGAGGGGGGGGAAAAAAAAAAAAGTTTCAACAACAGGCTGGGCCAATGGCAAGTGGCGGGGCAGGGAAAGGGGGCCGAGCGAAGGGAGAAAAAAGTGGAGAAAAGGAGAAAGAGAGCGAGAGAACGCAGGCTGGGGGGGATGTGTAAAAGAAGCGTTGCTAATTTTTTTTGTTTGTTTGCTTTTCCATGCATGCATAATGAGGCCTAATCAGAGCACGTTGCTGCTGCTCGGAGGGCACTTTTGTATTTAAAGCCTTGCAAATCAAAAAGGATCCACAGACGGATCCGCAGAGCAGCTTGCAGGGCTTGTTGACAACAGAAGCAGCATCAGTCGCCCAGAGAGAAAGAAACCCCGAAGGTTGCCTCTTCTCCTTCCCCCGTGCTATCTTTTTGCTAGCGGGGAAATTTCTTCTTCCCGCCACCCGAAAAGTGCAACCCGTACCGAGAGGGAGCAAGCGGAGCCGGGACTGTGAATGGGATCGGAGCAGCTGGCATGTGCAGAGATGCTGCGAGCGGAGAGTTAAAAGCTCCCGAGAAGGCAGCAGCAACAACAACAGCAGCGGCAGCAGCTGGGCATTTATTTTGTGCAAAAAAAAAAGGAAAAAAAAAAAAAAGAGAGAGAAACGGAACTGCATGAGGAGCAGGACAGCACCATGAGCTCTCTCGGCGCAGCTTGCAAGTCCCTGAGCGCACTTCGGAGCCGCTCTCCTCCGAGCCCCAGTTTGCACTGATTCCCCCCACCTCCTCCGGGCGCCTTTGCCGCCGCAGAGCAGAGCCGGGAGCAGCGGGTGAAGAGCACGGGACGGCCCCGGCCGCCTGCTTCGTACCGCGGCCCCGCCGGTTTCAGCTTCCGGGGACTGCAGGGCCCCGGAGCCGGCGCGAATGGATTGATGCGAGGAGACCTCATGCACAAGGCCGGCGGGAGTTTTGCAAACTTTTCTACGGGCGGCAGCTCCTTCTCCTCCTCCGCCTCCTCCTCCTCGTCGTCGTCGTCGCCACCCAGCGCCTCTGCCCCTCTCGCCCGCGGCAGCAGCCGCCGCCAGCTATGGTGGCCCGCTCGTCCGCTCAGCACGGAGGCGGCGGCGGGCGCCGCTGGCCGCGGCCGACCGCCTGGCTGTGGCTGGCAGCGGCGCTGGGCGCCGTGTGCCCGCCGCGGGGCTCGCTGGTGCAGGGCCGGCGGCTGATCTGCTGGCAGGCGGTGCTGCAGTGTCAGGGGGAGCCCGAGTGCAGCTACGCTTACAACCAGTACGCCGAGGCGTGCGCCCCAGTGCTTCTGCAGCAGCCGCCGGCGGGCGGCGGGGCCGGGCCGGCGGGCGCTGCAGGCGCCTCGGCCTCCTCCAGGCGGCGGTGCCCCAGCCATTGCATCGCGGCCCTCATCCAGCTCAACCACACCCGGCGCGGCCCGGCGCTGGAGGACTGCGACTGCGCGCAGGACGAGAACTGTCGCGCCACCAAGCGCGCCATCGAGCCGTGCCTGCCCCGCACAAGCAGCCCTTCTGCCGGGGGCCCTGGTCCCGGCCCCGGCGTCATGGGCTGCACAGAGGCGCGGCGGCGCTGTGACTGGGACAGCCGCTGCAGCCTCGCGCTCAACCGCTACATGACCTACTGCGGGAAGCTGTTCAATGGGCTGCGCTGCACGCCCGAGTGCCGTGCCGTTATCGAGGACATGCTGGCCGTGCCTAAAGCCGTGCTGCTCAACGACTGCGTCTGCGACGGGCTGGAGCGGCCCATCTGTGAGTCGGTCAAGGAGAACATGGCCCGCCTCTGCTTCGGCGCGGACACGGGCGGCAACGGCGCAGGCAGCAGCGGCGGCTCGGACGGCGGCCTGGAGGAGTACTACGACGAGGACTACGAGGAGGAGCCGAGCCAGAAGGGGAGGGACGACGCGGAGGACAATGCGGGCTCCGAGCCCGGTTTCCCCGTGCAGGCGGATAGCGCCGGCCGGCCTGCGGCCGTGGTCTGGGCGTTGCTGGCCTCCATCTTGATGCCCCTGCTGCCGCGGCTCTAGCGGCTTTCCCTGCCTCCTGCCAGCGCCGGGCCGCGCTGGCCTCCTCGCGGCGGCAGGGGGGCGGCCGGCGGGGTCCTCCGGGCCGCTCAGTTTAAACGCTCTAACCGTTAATCTACCGACCATTAGGCCGGGCCCTCCCCTCTCTGCACACACACTGTCCTCCGGTCCCCCGCGTATCTCCGAAAGCGGAGGCTCCCCCTCTGCCGCCGTGCCTGCCCGAACCGCTTGCCCGCATTCTCCCACCGGCCCGACTGCCCCAGCAGTGGGAAGGTGCCGCGGCCTTGCGAGCTGGCAGCCGGGGCGGTGTGGAGCGGGAGGGCACGGGCTGCTGTTGTTTCGGGTGTTGGTCTGGAGTGTGCACTATGCAATTGTTGCCACTTTGCCTTCAAGTTAGCAGCGAGCGGAGCGGGCTGACGGGGAGTCTGCTAGCGAGGCTTCAGCCGGCTCCCCGCTGCCGCCAGCCGGAGCAGCCAGCAGTAACGGCATGGTGGTGGTGGTGGTTTTCTGAAAGCGTTTTGACATGAAGGTTAGAAGTGAGCTACCCAAACTTGCTGCCAAAGCTGTTGCCGTACTGGTCAGTCAACGACTATAATTTGCCAAGTCTCGCTCTTGGTGATGCTGCGGTGCTCGAAAGGGGCTTAACGCGGCATCTGCCAATTTTTAAAGGAAATAGGAGACTGAATAAATTCTGTGGTTTACAGCACTCCCTCTTGCACACACATCTGCCCTATAACAAAAACCGTGCCAGCAGCCGTCTCTTCCTCTTCAACCTAAAAAAAAAAAAAAAAAAAAGTTGGTTTTTTTTTTTTCAGAGCTGTTGGCTATACTGAACAATGCAACTTTTGTTTTAAAAGAGCTCTGCACTGCCATCTTTGAAAGACACTTTTAAACTCGAGAACATGTATGTACAAATATCCTGAAAGTTATATTGCCTCTCATCATATCAGGGTGCTGACCGCTGGTAAATCTTATATAAGAAATGTATTTAAAACTGGGATTTGTTACCAGTTGCTCTTCTTAGTATGTACAATTTTATAAATTGTATGCTTTTGGGGATAATTTATTTAAGAAAAATAATAAAAGTTTTAAATTCACATCATATTTACCAGATAATTGCATTTGCTATTCTTTTCTGGAAAGGTACAGATTTCATTTTATGTTTAAAGGGATACCAGCTTTTGTGATTCAGTGAAGTATTCTCTAGAAGATCAAATGTACAGTGTATTTTACAGATTGGAATTTAACTTTCTTATTTGGAGAGACTTTATGAACGTTGTAGAATTGTATAAGCGCATTTCTGAGCTGCCTTAAACCTTGTATTTTTTATAGGAGGCATAAAAAAGGCCTGTGTTTTAAATATGTACGGCTTTTTGTATTTTCTAAATGTGTAAATTAGTAAAGAAAGAGCTTTAAATAATGGATGTGGTGAAATTGTTTTCCAGGGACGCTTGAACTCTCAGCACCCGAGGTTGGGGGCGGGGGGAAAGGGATGGGAGGGGGGAAGCGAACCACAGAATAAAAAACCAAAACCAGTCAACAAACAAAAATCTCTGTCTGCCTGTCATACTTTACATAGATGTAAATTACTGCTATTCTTACTTTAATGAATAATTACATGCAAGAAGTAAATACAGCTTTGAAAGTACTACTTTAAAAGAGTGGTTGATTTTATAATGCGTTGGCATGGTAACTTGTTAGTGCCAGAAGAGAGTGAAGCAATTCAAGGACACTGCTCCTGTATGTATGTAGAATTACTAGTGTGCCGTGCTTTCTTCGTGAAGTGGAGGCCTGTTGCTCTTACTGACACTTAGAAATGCTCCTAGGCATGCAAACAAGTAAATGGTGAGAAATACATCACACAGAGGTGGCAAGTGTTTCGAATAAGGCTTTGCGGCAGGCAGTGGTGCGCGAATCAAGGGGGCTGCAACAAAGCGCACCGAAGTTTGCCATTCAGCCTGCCTTCTCCCACAACGAAGAATGCAAAAGTAAACACACTGGAGGGATCAGCAATTACTAGATCTTGTAATACTGTTCTTAAGAGTTGCTTTGCATCGTGCTGAAGCCTGGTTTGCTGCCAGAGCTACTGATCTACACTCAAACGCCCTTAGATAAATAATTACACTCTTAAGCTGTGTCGAGTGCTGATACACTTGACCTTGTAAATAGAAATGTTTGCAGTAGGAATAAACTCCAGCATTGGAAGATCTTTTTAAACATTAACACAAAAGAGAGAGCTCAGTCCTCTGGGGATTTGAGTTTGGACTGCGTCAAGCTAGGCACTCGCAGAAAAAAAAAAAATGAAAAGGAAAAAAGGCAGAGAGAAGAAAGTTTATTTATCTTCTATTCGTGGTGTTTATTTAAAGCTTTTCGCTTTAAATGCCATAATTGGATGGCGAGTCAGAAGTTTAAAAGCTACCACAAATAAACTTTGACTGAGGGGGCAACAGATTAGCAAGATAGTGTCTTTTTCATCTTACCAGATCTTGACAGAGAGCAAATCCGCATCTGTCTGTTGCCTAAATCAACAAAAGTAGAAATTCCTGCTTCTTGATTGGTTATTTCAGCAACAGATTATTTTATTATTTCTTTAGGGTGTGAATTTGATTAGGTTGCCCAGTGGTAAACTCACACAGGCGCACATGCACACACATAAACCAACCCCCAAATAGTTGTGATAACAGACAAGTGTATGACTATGGTGTATGGCTATAATCTGAAGGTCGTTTTTAAAGTCATCAGAATGGTTGAGTAAGCTTATTGTTAAAGCTGGAAATACTGTTTCTTCAGGAAGAGGATAGAGTAGTTGGGTGAGACTTGTAATAGAGTCAGCTTTCTCTACAGAATGCTGAGTTCACAGCTGTGTAGGGATGACCTTAAATATTCTCTCCAGTTCTTCAGGAGGTGCTCAGAAACATATTTGCAGTTTGTCAACAGTTAGTACTCACAAGGACTATTTAAGTCGTTGATGAAAAATTCTCAGCTAAAAGCCTTTATTTTTCTTCAGGTAAGAGTAGCAGTCTGATACAATAAACTGAAGACTTGATTTTACAGCCTCCTATCAAAAGCATCTGCCTGGAATAAATCAACACTGAGCACCACTAGGCAGGGAGGGCTCATCTGTATGCTTCCTTCTCCACAGAAAGTGGATTGTTTTAATTTAAATAATTGTACAATAAATACAGCTGGACTAATTCTGTCCTGTGAGCTCCTCCCCATATGGAGATAGCTCTCCGGGTTTTGTCATGTTGTCAGAGTAAGCACAATTTCCAGGAGGAATAGCTTGCCTGTGTTGGTATATGTCCCAGCCGACAAATCCTGTGCAGATGTTGATGTCCTTCAAATTCGTATTCCTTTTGCTTGATTTTGAGACAAATGGAAATTCTTGAAATGTCAAGGGATGTAGCAAGGACAGCTTTAAGCAAGGAAAGCCTTCATGTTCCCTGACAGAGGGAGATTTTCCACAGGAAAGGAAGTTCTCTCATTTGCCTGGGTGTTTGAAAGTGCTCTTTGCCAAGACCCTGTCCAGCCAATCTCTTCCAAGGCTAGAAGGAACTCTCCACCATTTCTGCTCCCTTTTTATTCCCAGTTACCAGGTTTGAATTCTTGGTGACAGTTTATTTGTCTTTGGAGGCACTTCAGTGACAAATGTTTAAGGGAGTGTGGGACAATGGTGGAGAACAAGGAGGCAGTTCATTGAACTGACAGTGACCATACAGTAAATAGAGGGAGACTCAAGCTTCACTGATCACTCAAGCGCACAGCAAAGCTTTTGTATGCAATCACAATGGACATAACATAAGGTCTCTGTTTATTTTTAACAATATACACCAATGTATATAGGGAGGAATATGTAGCTTTCAAAACTGTTATGAAACAAAGCCTCACAGTGACTCTGGTTTGGCCAAGTCTTTCATGGTTGCATTGGAAAGCATGATGGATTTTAGTAACAATCTGTGCTCCATTCCTCCGAAGAGCTGTTAGTGAGCCAAGTCCTTCACTGCATGCAGCCACCTATAGTGCATACCTACGGCCGGGCTAAAAAGATGGCTGCAGACAGCTTTGCAGGTGCAGAACAAAAAATTCCATCTCAGTGCAATGCAAAACCAGTACTCGCTTTTTGTTCTTTCTGATGATGTTGATGATGTTACTGGCTTTGTTGTTGTTTTTGTTTTGAGTACACTGGAGGAGAGTGAGAGGAACTCCAAAATAGCCAAGGTGTAATTATAAGAATAGTGGGACACAAAACTGTCACCACCTGGGTCGTGGAAAACACTGCTTGAATGACGTGGGCTGCATTGTGTCCTCAATGTCACTAAAACAAATTCAGACCTTCATTCTGTTTTATTCCTGTCCCCAGTAATAACCACATACTACCACGCTGCCTGTGATAACACACCCATTGTAAGTCTTCAGGGAAAGTAGGTAATCCTGCAACAGAAAACATTTTCAAGTGGGAAGAGCAGTGCTTCTCTGTGAGATTTCAACTCTGTGGTACAGACTTGCAAGCAGTAAAGTCGAAAGTTACTGTATTTTACTTGAGGCACTGGCTGTGGTAGACAGTTGAAAAGGCTCACATTGACTGTCTGAATGACATAAGTAGTGCGCTATTAGCATAAATACTTTCTAAGACATCCATTTAATCAATTTCTTAAATAACAGAATGATCTACTACAAAATAGTGGACTGTATACACTATATTTTGGCACAAAGATGGTCATTCTCCCACTAGTAACCAGGGGCTCTAAATAAATGATTTCAACAATGTTTTATTAAAGGAGGACAAGAGCCCTCGAGCTGCATTAATCGGGGAGAAGTCGAGTGGCACTTTTGTTATGGAAATGTTAAACACATAATAGTTCAGGCAAACAATGTGGAGCCACTTCATTCTCTCAGCCATGCTGACACCTCTTAAAGAGGAACTGCAGGGAAGGATGTGGGAAAGATTTGCTTTCTGAGGAAGCTTTCAGCTAATATTTTTGATATTTACCTCCAAAATTCAGGCAGTGCAAATGTAAATGAAGGGCATAAAAATAAAGCAATAAAGAGGGATCATTTGGCAGCAACTGCTAGTGATTATCATTTGGCGCCCAAAATCAAAATAGTCATAGACAAAAAAAGAAAAAAAAAAAAAAAAACAACAACCCACAAAAAAGCAACAACAAAAAAGCTGTGAGGTTTTTGGTGTTTTTTTTTTGAGTTTGGGTTTGTTTTCTTTTTTATGAATTTATTATGAA